AGGACTGTCATTATGTTTCAAATGGATGTTGCATTGATTTGAATCCGTCAAATATCCGTTAGAATGCAGAGTTTATTTTCACAGAGGATTCTCAGTGTTCCTGATGCACGTCAACAGTCATCTGTTGACCTCCGTCAAGCTTCAGCCTCCGCGCGGCATCTGCATTGTGATTGTGCTTGCCACATGGGTGCCTTTTGCGCCTCCCATTTACCATGAATGAAATCAAGCCCGGCTCAAAGATGCAGCAGTTGGCTGTGCAGTCAATTAGTCTTCATTGCCATTACAGGGTTGACATTAGTCTAGACAGGCGTATTTTGATCAGAGATGACAGGCGGCCCGCTGCTATTGGACGGCCAGACATTCCTCACCCTTCATCCTGCGGATGAAGCTATCGAAGCTGACTGGTATATGGAGCCCTTGCAGCTGAGCGGCTGTGCCAAGATGCCCTTCATCCACTCTTATAAATATGTCGGCGTGGAATACAAGACGCTATAAGCCTGAATAACAGCAACGCGCGGCCTCGCGTGCGTAAGACTCGGCTGTCATTATGTTATTCCTGCGCTGTATATCACGGCAATGATGCCTAAACTGTGGGCTTTTTACGCACAATGGCCTTTTGTTGTGCAGGTTATTTATTGTGCTGCTGTGAAGCTGTGCAGAGAGCTGGTGGGTGAGTGCATCCAGGGGCTTGTATTGTTAGGGAATCAGTGGCTTGTGTTTGTGGAGCTGGGAGGGTTCGCTAACAATGCCCTTTTTTATGTCTCGGAGTGCGTGCCTGTCGGCCAATGTCCCCTTGCAAATTTTGTCTGTGTGTTGTTTTGTTGTTTGTGTGAGTGGAACGGGGTCAGCAAGCGCAACCCCGCTCATTGAATGGCAAGTCCAAATGGACGGGCCCTCGCGCGGGCACGTATGAGCGTTAGTGTGTGCATTTTGAATATACAACGAGCTGAAGGTTTTACTGCCTGCCTCTGCTAATGGAACCTTTCTCTCTCTCTGTATTCGTGTGACAGTATGGTGACGGACAAGAGGGGGCGGGTGAGGGATTACGGGGGTAGTGCAGTGCCTTGTTAAAGAAAAGGAAAGGGTTAGAGTGTGTCGATTGGATTAACTTGTTTGGGCTTATTAAGAGAAGAGACACAGCGGCTTGTTAAAAGCACTGCATGGGGCGTCCCACCGTGAGACGGCAGGGTCACCATTCAATGAGGCTCAAGCCGCACCCACCCCGGAGGAGCTCCGGCAGCTCTGCTGGTCCACAAGTGGTCCCGTTCTGAAAACCTGGGAGTAATCCAGGAATGATGCGGACCTTCCCAGGGAACGCCAAAGAATATTGGCGCTGACACTTGGAGACAAAGAATGTTGAGTATGAGCAATGCTGTCATGTTTTTTTCACCTTGTCGATTTAATATTATTCAAAACACACTCAGCAGCTTCATTTGAGCCGACCACACAGTGTTGGTGAAATCTGAGTGAATCGTTAAACCAAACTCAAAACATATCTTTTCAGAACTGGATACTCTTCCTAGTGTTGATTTGATTTAAGGTTGACTTTTCTTGATCTTGGTTTTTTTTTTTCTTTCTTGTACAGTGTCCTTTTGTGCTCTGAAAGGCACCTTAACATTCCTTTCGTTGTGGTATAGTTTGTGGTCACCGATACCCATGCAAGCATTTCTAAATTGACAGTCGGACATTGACAGATTCTTTGTCGACTCTTATTTCGAGCCTATAATTAGCAACCTTTACATTGGCCCCAACAGAAGAAATAAGATGGAACAGGACATTAGACACATTTTACATTACGCCTCATACACTGGCCCGATCACGAGCTTTTCACATGAGCACGTCCACCTAAAAATGTACGCACACAAAAATAAGCACTCCGTTGTTTCACCCACGAGCACCCAGCTGCTTCCTCCACTTTGCAGGATGCTTATCTCGACAGACAGCTTTGGCTGCGTGGAGCCATCTTCTCTGATCTCCTCTGCCGTTTAAGAACCTTTTAACGAAGAAATAGCCCTTCGCCGAGCCCACTGGCTCTTGATTCTGGCTTATTCCCTCATCTCATGGGACTGATCCTTCCCGCCCCCGCTGCAAACCCAGCAGCGGTGTTATCAGAACGATAGACGCCCTGGCTTTAGAGATACGGCCGTGCTGGTGTAATAGGAGAGTTGTGAGTGGATTTGATGAGTAAGTCAAGTGCAGGTGGTTTGAATGCGCCGACTGGCTCACATTCTTCAGCATATTCAAGGGGATTGATCCAAGCATGACGGGCTATTATAGAACAGCTGTGATGATGGGTCAGAGTGTTTCGCTTGGAACATCATTTCCTGCCACTGATCGACATCTGCTAAGCAGCACAATACCTAAAAGGAAGAGATGAGGCAAAGAGACGAGGGCATGACAAACAAGCCAAAGACTTGCTTCTTCTGCTTCGCTCTTGAGGGCAATAATGGGAGAAAATTGGTTCTTGAAATTGAATTGAAAAAAAGTGGGTCTTTTTCAGCAAAGCATAATGCCTCAAAATGCATTTGGTGAGCGGCAAATGGAGAAAAATGGGGCGCAGTTATGCGATTGTCTTTCATTTCAGACAGTGAAAACGGTGGATGTACCCCCTCCCCCATACCACCGCCACCACCAGCTAGCTTTTAGTCTCAATCTACACCGCATGCACCTTTCTTCTCGGGCAACTTGTCTTTTAACAAATGGTCTGTGAGGATGGGCTGCTGGTGACATTAGTGAGCATGGAAGAGAGGTCCCACGGAAAAGGATTATGTGAACAGCCAGTAATGAACTCAAAGTGCCAGTGTGTTTGGGCCAGGCCCGCCTGTGTGCCGAAGGAAATGACACCGTGCACGACCTTTTTTTTTTTTTTGCACAAGCACCTGGCTAGCAATAGAGTGGCTTCTCTCTTCCATCAGCAATGTGTGCGCGTGTGTGTGTGTGTGTGTGTGTGTGTGTGTGTGTGTGTGTGTGTGTGTGTGTGTGTGTGTGTGTGTGTGTGAGAAAGCAAAAAACAGAGTGGAAACAAACGCTGTACTCAAGTCTATGATTTTTACACAGTGGCAGCTCCTGCTCCTCATGTTTATTTCCCTTTTTTGTAGTCCCTTTTTTGTTCCTAAACAACGCTGATCTGTTTTGAAGCACGTCGCTGCTATTTGTATTTATCAACAGCTCATATGATTCAGAATTTATTTTAATAAGAGAACAGGAGCACGTGTTATGTGGATAGTCTTTAATTCATGAGGTAATCATTGCAATTGCTTTCTTTTTGTGTGAAATTATCATCTATAAAACTAAATAGGCCAATGTCAGGTGGCTTAAGGTGACTTCGCTGGCAAAATGAATAACAGGACACAAGCTTCAGAGAGGTGCACGAGAAATCATTTTTCAATAATATGCCTGACGCTGCCGCTGACAGCCGAGATGAAATATTTGCTCCTGTTCTTTGTTTTAATATGAAAGGAGGTTGGGAAGATAGTGATTCATAGCGATGCGGTTTGGACATAAGACTGACAGAGTTAATATGAAGGCCACAATTCTTTTTACAGGCACAGCATGCATGCGAGCTGTGAGTGGACTTTGCCAATGTTCTACAGTGTGAGTGTCTGTTCCCTGGAAACCAAAAAATTTCCGCTGAGTGAGGGAATATCAATTCTTATCATATAAGAACACTTTGTGGACCTTGGAGGTTTTATTTTAACTGTCCTCGTCTGCTACATAATCCAACTAGACAATTTGTAATCAGTCACTATTGTGAAACCGTGACTGATGAATGATGCTCTCTATCTTGCTCGACTATTGAGCTTTTGTTGAGCGAGCAGTTACTTTTTATAGTACAACCGAAAGGGGTGAGTCCTGATTAATTAATTAATCGATGGCCAGGCTAGGCCTTTTAGTTCGCGCTGAATCTTAATTTTCCTTCTTCCCACCACATTTTGGACAATTGTTTGCTTCTGACTTTGTTGATATAATTCAGATGCTCCAGTGCGGAAAGCAAGGTCCATAATGGATCGCTTGGATGAATTTTGGTGCGGAAAAACTTGACCTCAAAGACCTTTGGGTGGAATGAACTAGATTGTAAACGAGACATCACAAATGATTTTTATTTTGAAGACTCCCCTAATGACAAATGATTAAAAAAAAAAAACAAAAAAAAAACACAATGACACATTCCAAAATCTTGAATAAAATCTTTCCAGAAGACTCGAGGCCGCAAAGAGGGGGCACACCTTTCATTTTCTCTTTCTTTGGAAACTCTGGGTATCCCAATTCATTCGTCCATATAGTGAATCTATGTCTTCCGTTGTGGGCTTTTTCGGTGGAAACTAGCAGCCACTGCTTCACTTTTCCTGAGTGGAGGTTATTGTAAAGGAAAAGAGAGAGCAGGGCTACAGATTTATGGCCTGCAGGGAGATTGATTAGTGCCGTCACCGGCCATGATGTACGGTCTGCAGTCTCCCCCACTCCCGCCATTGCATTTGCTCATGAACACACACAACTGCACTGTACAGAACACGGCTCCATATCCATGCAAACACCAGTTGGTTCCACAAAGCCCTCCGTGACAGCCCCCCCACCCCCCAGTGCTGCTGCATGCTAAGCTTAGCAGTCAGACTGCTGCCCCCCCCCCCACCTGTCCATAGATAACACCATCAATCAACACGTGCACACTGCACTGAGAGGAATGTGCTAAAGTGCTGCTACTTGTGTGTTTGTTGTGAGCGGGGTTTCATAGGCAGGAGATATGCTTGACTAGCTGTGTGGTGCAACGCTGTGCACTGAGCCAGGGTCGGCCGAGCGGCCCCCAGCGCAGGTGTGTGTTTATCAGTCAACACATGCAGCACGGAACCCTCTGAATGTAGACAAGCTCTCCCAAATGCATACTGGGTGAGAAACACAGCCTCATTTAGTGACTTAGCCCCGTTCCACCAGGATAGCGGATGCAAGCTTTGACCTCAAATCCTTCTGCCGATTTCACTCAACGTTGTATTTTTGCGCTCCAGGTTGGCCGCAGAACTCCCCCGGCTGTCGTACTGTGCCCACCTCGCCATGCTGGCCTGTCTGCAGAGGAGGCAGAACCCTCCACCCCAGCACCCGGCGTGTGCCAGCAAGAGCCTGGAGCCACCGCAAGCCCTGGGACGCAAATGTGAGTTCACAAAAAAACATTGGCGATTTGGGCTGCCGGGAATTGATCTTGTTGAATTCGGAGGATCGGGTCAGAATGTGTACACCATGTCCACATAACCCTCAGTTAATCAGTCAGGGCCGACAATGGAAGCAGACCGCTAACCCTGACTGTAAATAAGTGACCGTAAAATAGACTTTCCGGTTTCTGCTGTTTGTGTCACCACGATCCCTCGCTTCTCTGAGGAATTCCAAACAGTTGGACGAGCAAATGTGCACTTTACAGGCCAGATTGTTGTGTTGTTTGGCCCATCATTGTGAGTGGGACTGTTTAGCCATGCTGATTGTGCGGTCGTGTCAACAGGGCTGAGCAGACACCGTTTTAACGTGCCTCATGGCCCTGCGTGACCCTGAGGGGTCTGTAAACATTTACAGTGTCTGGTTGGGGCCGCCTGTAAAGCATGACAGCTGCTGCGCTGGCTCCCGCAGCACCACCCTGTGTCCACTCACAAAATGGTGCAAAAGGGACAAAGATGAGTTGATGCGGAGTTGCTAAACTGGTTGTAACCAGTTTGCAGCTGGAGCAATCAGACATCCAGTCGATGGATTGGATCTTGATTTGAGCTGAAGCTTTTGATGTCAGTTTTAACTGTGGTAATTTTGGGATCAAATAAAGAAATCAACGTCTGCCTCGATAATGACAACGTAGGAGTTGTTGTGTTTTGCGAGGCAGCCATATAAGCCATTCCAAACTGATTAATAGAGAGGAGAGGCATCTGAGGAACAACATTTGCGTGTTTCTGCAAAAGTGGGACAATATGTGTGGCTTTTAAAAGCATGTGAATGAAATTATCATTTTCTTTTGTAATCTTCTTCCATGGGGATTTACTTAGGTCATTACACTGATTGGCTTTGCAATGAAGGATTGTTGTGAAAGCGCGATATAAATAAAGATGTATTGCACCGTTTTATTAAAAAGTAATGCATTTTGGATGAAGTGCTTTAATGTGCTTGAATTATCTGCTTCTTTCATAAGAAATTGCTTTTTCACTAGACGTCTGGGGTCAGGTTGCAGGGGAGGGAGCCCAAGTGGAGAGGGCCAGGATTCCTTGATGCTGCTTGATGCAGTTGTCCAAATGATATAATGATAATGAAACCACACAGTTCTCAGCCTCACAGTTCTGAAGTTGTAGCCAGTGATTGACAGCCCTCGTTGTACCCACTTCTCACCCATGACCGCATGAGGATGAGCGGGACAAAAATTTTGATGGATGAATGTTTTGTAGTACAAATAGCTTATAGAATCTTGATCTTAGAAGAAAGTGCTTGGTCTTTAACCATAGAAAGGATGTATGAACCTTGTGGACCAAAGGTGAGAAATTTGCACAAACTAGAATTATAAAATGGAATGATGGAAAGAAAGCAAGCAGAATATAAAGCAGACCCTCAAAACTTCATCTTCATCCATTCCTTCCCCATTTTGCAGGATTAACCGACTTCCTTCTATAGGAGTCAGAACTCAGATCAAGAAAGTACTTTGTCATAGAAAAGTCTTCAGTTTCCTCCACTTCTCTTTCTGGCATCCCTCTCAGTGTCTCTCTCGAGCTGCTTTAAAGCCAGACATTCAATTACCATCTCATAAACTTGTCTTGAGGTTCATTGTCAAGTTGCTTAAAAATTTTGCAATGTGAGGTAGATATAGAAGAAAGCAAGTTGCACAGAGATTTAGACAATGGACATGGCCTACACTCAGCACGTTGATTTTATTTATTTTTTTTGTCTTAGTCCCATTGAGTGCGAGCAGGTGTTGGTCAGGTGACCCAGCCTCTCAATGGGAGGCTCCCATCCCAGTGTTCCCACCTCACAGACAGTGAGTGAACATACAGGAGGTGGATTACCTGGCAATGAAACAGGTGAAATGTGTCATTTGCTTCGTTTGCCCTTTGTTTAAAATGTATGACGGGTGTGCGTGTGTGTGTGTATCTGTGTGTGTATGAGACAGTGCTGGAATGAGAGGGTCAGCGACACACAAAAAGACCCTGCATGCAGATGCCGAGTGACTGCACAGTTCATTGATGCGACTCCCATTAAAAATCCCTCATACCCTCAATAAAAAAGGAGTTAACTGGCTCTGCCATCAGCTGGAAGCGTTCAGATCAGCTCGCCAGACAATCAATTTCCCCCAAGCGCGCAGAGCTTAGCGGGAGAAACGGGAGGCGGAGAGTAGGATGTTTCCATTATCACAGCCCGGGCTCGAGGGGGGCTGGGGGCGAGGCGCGCAAGAGCGGCGTGCAGGGCGGAGACAGCAGGCAGCAGCCTCAGCGAGGGAGGTGGCGAGAGAGCTCCGAGAAGCCGTCTTTTCAGAAAGCCATTGACCGCCTGCCCTTAAAAATATCATATTGGATTAACTTCCTAGGGGCGGCCTTTTGATATTTTTTTTTTCTTCCTTTGGCCATAGAATTAAAAGGCAGTGCAGAGCATTACTTGAATTATAAATCATAGGCACTGACTTTCACTGCGTCCAAATTCCACGCATATGTGGCTGCACTCTCCCGCGCCAACCGCTGTCATTTTTAATTAAATCCTCCTTATGGGTGACATTTGTAACTCTCGTCCTCGCCTCCGCGTCTCTCCACCCCTGGTCTAGATGGAGACATGAAAGGCAGAGACGGCCGTGGAGCCAGTGCCTCTCATCATGTTGTGCCCCAGAGGGTGGGTGTCCAGATGAGAGAAAGAGAGAGAGAGAGGCCACACAGGGGGAGAGGGGTGAATAGAAGCAACTGACCCCAGACACCCTCCACCAGAGGCAACCCTCCCCATCGTTACTTTTCCGTCATCACAGCCCCGCGCCGTGGCTCTGAAGGTCCAAGAGGAGTAGAGGCGAGCATAAGACGAGAGGGAAATGGAAGGTCTCCACTCCAGTGATGAGTAACACTGACATAGCCCCCCTCGCTCCCCCCAAACCACCTGCCCCCTCTCTGGCCCAGACACCAATTACTCTGCTACATGTCATCTCCAGAAAAAAGAATGGCTTCACAATCTTTCATGACAGCTAGATGACGATGTGGCTATTTCCTAAAATATGATTTTGTCCCGGTTTCCAATTGCTTGTTTAATTATGTCCTGATTAGTGGTCAAAGCCGTGTACCCCTCCAGGTTTGGGGGAGAGGGCTATTATTTTAAATACCTTAAAAATTAGCGCCTCAGTCAGTTATCTAACCTTTATTTGGGTAACGGCTTTTTCAGCTGTGTGTGTGAGTCCGGTGAAATCAAATTGGAAAGAACAGTTTAATCCTAGTTAAATCCATTTAATCAAGTGCTATTAAAGTCCAGATTTGTTTTTCCAAATGTGCCCTTAAAAACACACACACACACACACACACACACACACACACACACACACACACACACACACACACACACACACACAAACAGACAGAGAGGAGGGGAGATGGAGCGCACATGCAGCAGTAACCTCCTGCGACACCAGCCGCGAGGCCTGGCGTGCCAATCAGCCAGGTGTAGATGAAACGTTCCCAGAAGGCCTGATATCCGCAGTTCATGCCATGTCAAGCCAGGTTCAAACTTCCTCTAGATTGATGGACAGAGACAATCACACGGCCTCGGGACACAGCATGGAGGTTCACCTGGGGAACTTCCTAATAAGCCCGCTCCTCTGCAGGCAATGACGCCGGAGATGGTAGATGGTTGCTTTGCTTTGAGTTAAGTGTGGGGAATTAATTGACACAATGTCCTCCCGCGTCCTGTGTGTTTCTAATTTGGTATAAGAGGCCACTACAGAGAAGTTGGAAAGCTGATAAAAAAATTCAGTATGTTGTGTGGTGTGCTGTGATGTCAGCCGTTCCAGTTGAATATTAATAAGCAGTTACAATAGCTGCTGAAATAGCAACTCTGAGCCTGACACGCGACTTGGCTCAACTCGGCTCTGCTTACTATTCACACTTTTCCGTTGGCAAAAGCAGATACTAATTCTAGACGAGGTTTGAAGACAACTTCTCGGTTGTGTAAATTTGTCATCATTTACCTATTGTAACATTTTAGTGGACATATCTTGAAATGACAACAAATAAACATTCATGCTAACATTAGCATAGCCTCTCAGGTCTGCACATTGCAGTGTTCTACCCTATAGTCAACACTTCATTCTATACCGGCTGCAGCGGCCCATATTCATGTTCCCTTCTGACTCCCATGCAGAATTGACAGAAAGGGTAAAAAAAAAAAAAAAAAATCTGCATACACTTGACCTTTTCCCACTGACTTAAATGTCCTCTTTCTCCGTCCCATTTGGAATTCTACAGAGTGTCCACATCTGCATTCTGATTATTCCAGCAGGTCAGGAAGTATTCTTCATGCTGAAAGGTGAGTGACAGCTATCCATGAATAGCCTCTTTCCCGGATGCCCTACTTATGCAATCTCATTGTGAGGAATCTTTGGGTTTGCTCTCTCATTTGATATGTGCCCACACAGTTTCATCATAAGGGATGGTGCTACACTCAGACTAGGAGGCGAGCTATAGCCCCATCAGAAATGTGTGTGGCCCCACTTAAGCCCCTCCAGCATTTTATTTGATATTATAAAATATATCTATAAAATATTTTCTGAGTCCCACTATGTCAAGCCCCACTTCAGCACCGGGAGAGAAAAAGTCCTGGAGCCGGGCCTGTTCATCATATTGACAAATGGTAAGAATTAAAAGGAGGAGCCACATGAGTGGCCACAGACTTCCCTCACGCTTAGTATAGCCTCTTGCCATCTCAGTGCTGGCACACAGAGGATCATTTCCGTCTGGTAGTGACCTGCCGAGTTTTGCCTTCACTCTGCCCTCTTGCCTTCTGCTGTGAGCACAGGGGGTGAAGCGATCTTATTGCCATGGGAGGCGAGCTCGAGGAAGATGGGCTCTGCTGTGGCTGAGTTCACAGCAGGAATTGGATTGAAAAAGAGCTTCCTACGTCCAAAGGGAGCCTGGCATTCTGGCGACCCTGCAGGTGCAGGCATCA